ACAGATTGATTGTTTCTGTTAATCTTATTCTCTTGACTTCTTTGACCAACTTCCTATTACAATGAACACACACACAATAATACAAGCTACATGTAAGAATGGACTGTGATAGTAGTTGTGTGTTAGCAAAATCACTCCAAATTTTTATTTCATTTTCTGATACATATTGATGTCCTTATGCTGTGTAGAAAGTTTGAGCTGATTCCGACTTCAATTTATCAAGTTACTGCCGCTTTAAAAAATGGTTGATTTTTGAATTTACCCAAAGCTATAGCCCATGGTTTTTTTGGAAAAATGGCTCTGAAACACACCAAATCGTTATTATATTTTCTGATACATATTGATGACCTTATGTTATGTAGAAAGTTTGAGCTGATTCCGACTTTAATTTTTTGAGTTATGGCCGTTTTTTAAAAATGGCTGATTTTTGAAAAATACCCAAGGCTATAGGCCATGGTTTTTTCCAAAAAATGGCTCCGAAATCACCCCAAATTTTTATTACATTTTCTGATACATATTGATGTCCTTATGCTCTGTAGAAAGTTTGAGCTGATTCCGACTTCAATTTTTCAAGTTACAGCTGTTTTTTAAAAATGGCTGATTTTTGAAAATTACCCAAGGCTATAGCCCATGGTTTTTTTTCCAAAAAATGGCTCCGAAATCACCCCAAATTTTTATTACATTTTCTGATACATATTGATGTCCTTATGCTCTGTAGAAAGTTTGAGATGATTCCGACTTCAATTTTTCAAGTTATGTCCATTTTAAAGTACTACCCATGCAGTGTACATAAGCCCTGCCCTACATCACACAATGTCATACAGTGATTCTCTTCTTACCATTGCTTTCCTTATTATAAACTTCTTGACTCCACCAATAGACTGAAACTGAGTTTCAGCTGCTTCTTTGAATTTCTCCCATACCCTTGGGACAGCAAGTATCCCAGTTGGATGAACTTCCTACAATATGAAAAAGAAAATAACATTAGTACATGTACATACATATTACAGTACACAACATAAGGGACATGTTACAGTATGAGAATTAACTATATGTACACATACATGTACGCGTGTACATGTACATGTACATATTACAGTATTATAGTATAAGGTACATGTTATTACAAGGGCTGAAACGAATAGTGAGATATTTGAATATTCATTCGTTATAGCAATTAATATTCAATTAGTTTTTTGCTATTGCAATAATTAACAACCACGCCCACCACGTGTCACCTGCTCAGGCTGCTTTCTTAGTCTGTTTCTTGGTCTATTTACTTACCAACTGGCTAAATACTGATGCTGTGGCCAGGGAAAGTGGTTCTCAATCTCTAAGAAGCCCTGTTTGGCATCATTTTGACAAGTTTAACACCAAAAATGTAGTTTATAATCATTCAGCAATAACAGTTCAATGACTGAAATATTAGCTAATTATTCGAATAGTGAAAAATACTATTCGTTTCAGCCCTAATTACAAGTACATATCACAGTATACAGTATTACATACATGTAGATATACGTGTATATTGTCTCATAGATATTACATGTACTGTACATATATTACAGTAAACAGTAGACAGTACATGTTATTACCAGTAGTGTGTCCCTCAGTGATCCTTTTAGAGCGTCAGGTTGAGCAAAGCAAACACATGATCCACAGATAACAGGACCAATGAGATCAGACATCTGACCACCAATGTGACTTAAGGGAAGGAAACTAACACCTCTATCCTCCTGTAGGAGAGAAGGAGGGAGGGAAGGAGAATGAAATTAAATTAAAGTTATATGTATATTAGTATAAATACATGTGCACAAAAAGTGATATTTTATTATTATTATTAATTACCATATAACACTTTATTTTGGCGATTTTGCTCTAAAATTTTAATTGGCTGTTTTTAATTTGGCGATTTCTGTGTACACGTGCATTACTGAGCATGCGCATTAATGATTGGCGATTCTGCTTGCAAACCGCCAATCGCCAAAATAAAACTCCACCAAATTAAAGTGCTATACGGTATATACAGTACTTACGTGTGATCCTCCACAGCTTTTAGTGATGGCTTTACCAGTAAACACAATATTATCATGAGACAGCATTGCCCCCTGTGAATACAAATTGAAAAATAACATTTTAATAATTATGTTGCACATAAATCTATTTCCCACACATGTACATGTATACGTACATGCATTACAAATTACTACATTAATAATTTTGGAAGATAATTTCTGAACAAAATGAAAATGCCATATACATGTACATATATGCAATTAACTTAAAGTCATGCAAATAAGTCTAAGTTTTACAATTGCTCAGTATCATTGTACGCATACTGTATAAGTGGTAATTTTCGAGGGTTGCAAATTTCGCGGATTTCTTCCTGATTTGCGAAATCAATTTAATACAGTACCTGCATGGCACACGTGGTAGAATTTGCAAAATTAAAATCTGCATATTGGAATTTTAGTAGATTTCGTGAAATATAGAACCCACAAAAATTACCGGCTATACAGTACATACATGTACATGTACATGTATGTGTACATGTGAGTATGTGTACATTGTTCACATACTTTAGGAGGTCCAGTGGTACCTGATGTGTATATGAGAGTGGCACAGTGTCCTGGTTTAATGGCTGATACTCTATCACTTAACTCATCATCCTTCACATCCTATTAATAACGGAAAGAAATTATAAACAAATAAACATACACGATAATAATATAAACAAGGACGAAATAATAAGCACATGTACATGTGTATTAAATACCTCCTCTTATTAATTCTCTACTTCATTAGTTTGTATGTGAACATTATGTAATTCAATTAAGATGTGATTAGGAAGTTTAGTTTATGGCTGCCAATATCAACTGGAACACTCTTAATCACTTACTACATGTACTCATTCCCACCTACTCCCTCCATCTATAATGTATACACTATACACTGTACATTATACATGTAACCTCAGGCTCAGTTCACTACAAACACCTGTTCATCAGTCTAGCCAATTATCACTTTATCAGTTTGTCTCATTCATTTCCTGATTAGACTTCTCTGTCTCTGTCTCTCTGTCTCTCTGTCTCTCCCTCTCTCTCTCCCCCTCTCTCCCTCTCCCTCTCTCTCCCTCCCCCTCTCTCTCTCTCTCCCCCTCCCTGCCCTTCCCCCCTCCCTCTCTCTCACCTTTCCCAGCTCCATGAATTCCTCCCAGGTTATTACTCCTCTCTCTCTCATTTCAGTATCCAGTGGCTCCTCAGTCTCCGGGAGATACTTCACTATCTTCTTCAAATGAGGCAAACTATCCTTTATCTATAATAATAATAATAAAATAAACTAATAAAAATAACATTGCAGTCATTACTGGATTAATGTAAAGCAATTAAAAGAGGCAAGCCTATAGCATGCGGAACATTATCATAGTT